TGCTAATTTTAATCAAAGAAAAACTGTAAATAATGCTAACAAACTTCGGAATTTTCAAAAGAAAGTTGCATCTTGCTGAATAGATTATTTTTTGTAGTTAGCGAATATATAGAGAAATTAAGGGTGTAAGAATTTGATCTCAGTTCAATTCAGCTGGCGGTTGAGCACGTGGTATTCGAATAAATTTTGATTACGATTTTACAGAAATGTCAAGTTTTTCTTCATTTTTCCACAATTGTAAACATTTATTCAACAAGAGCGCCACTTTACAATTGTTTTTGAATATTTGTTTTCTTTTCTTTGTTTTGCAGCGAACAAGTAATAACTGCTCTTAAATGTGAATTTTAATGAATTTTGATTTCTATATGGCATTAATTTGCGGTCACGAAGTTCAGACTATAGACCGCAATAGAAAAAGTCAGGACGTAAGAAAAGCGAGTCAAGTTTTGAAGATCATTTGAAGTATAACCTTGAAAATTTTAATTGGACTCAAAAATTGCAGCCAATTCTACTTTTGCACCACTAATATACTGCTATTTTGCATGCAATTAATGGTGTAAGTTTTGAAATTATTATGAAAACAAGTTGCAGTCACTGTGATTTGTTTGTAACCATCGATGGCTTGCGTTTTGTGTATCGATAAATACGCCATTCGGCACTAATAGTGACAACTTTTTCAGACAAAGTCGCAATTTTTATATAATTTTTCGGGTAAGAGTTGTACAGTCTGAATGTTTTTCGATAGACTGAGTACTTGGCGCAATTTTGCTATAAAATCAAGTTTTTGACATTTTATTCATTGCTAATGTCGACGTAATTACCAAGTTCGCACAATTTCTTTTCTCATCACCACAGTGAAACTTCTCTCCATTTAATTACACAACTACATTAGCGACAATCATCATTACTGTTGTAACTACTAAACATCGTTCCATTGATGATTTCACATGAAAATTCTAATAATGGCTATTTAGAGATCGCATTTTTTATCTGAGAAAATTTAAAATCCTGTTTTGTTTGAGAGAAAGTTTAGCACAGACTTTATCACAAAAAAATTATTTTCAACGAAAGAAATACTTTAATTGTGATCTGCAAAAAATTTTCTTGCCTTTATCCTAAATTTCCATTGCGATTTTCGCAAGTAATGTCATAAACTGGCTTCGACAGTTTATACTAACTCAAATTAGTTGCAAAAATTGTGTACATGGTAAAAAATTTTTTTAAAATCTTTTGAAGAAACTTTATGGTTATAAAATTTTGCCGTTTCGAATTAAGGCTTTTCAAGACTTACTGTTATTATTACTATTATTGTTTATTACTAACTATCCTTATTTTGCGTTTATTCATGAATTTTTTAGTAGCTGCTTGATATATTGTTTAGTCCAAAGTATTTAAAATCTGCTAATTTCTTGAAAATATTCTTAGCTTTTATCACTGCAGGATTTGTGCAGACATTAAAAATTTCATATATATATACGAAGATTTTAATTTCTTCAGCTCTCAAAAACAAAACTGAATTTTTTAAAAAGGAATTCATGATATGTACAAGACAAAAATTTTTCTCAGTGCTAAATTTACTTACATCAACTGCTACTGTTATTAGTAATAATATAATTGTATTTTATTACTACATGAATTATAGGTATTCCCCATGCCATTTATGGATTTATCTGATGAAACATTAAAAATTTGTATGAGTATTTGTTAATTAGATCAAATCAAAAGGTTAACTTTCTTGTAAAATATAAAAGTTATATTATTGTAAAATATAAAAGTTATATTTGCAATAAAATCACAAAAACAAAGAAACAGAAACTCTACATTTTGGCAGTAGAAATTCTATGATTAGAGATTTATTGAGCTTTTATATAACTGTCTTGAATTTATGAAAATTATTCTTAGTTTGTCTAAACCTAATCAAAATTTTAAAATACTATTCACCATAGATAGATACGAGAGTTTATATTATTGTTCCAGTGGTAAAATTCGACATTTTTAATCACTACAACATGTAAGGGTTATACTTTTTGTACCGCAGTGTTATATGCAAGCCTGTGCAATGTTTACAAGTAACGAAAATAAATAGACGATAATGTAAAACAGCTCATAAATGGTAGATATGTAGCTGATAAATGATTGTGCGACATGCATATTACGAATTTCGATGTTATCAGAATTAAAAAGTTATCGTGACATAGTTAGCAAATGCGTAAGTTATGTTTCTGCTTTACAATGACCTAACTGATACAACCTTCGACAACTGAGACAGAAAAACGTGAACAAACGATCAAATACAAATTTGGCCTTTGAATGCTTAGTTATCAGTATAATAAACTGATGATATGGTAACTCTAATTAATTACGTAAGCTATGATTTCTAGTCATATGTTGGAATTGTCACATAACTTTATTTAAGGAACGAATTTGATTGGTGGCTTTTTTGAGTTATCGTAAAAAATGCAAATTGTATCATCACATAAAGATTTAGTGTGAAATACAATGCCACAGATTTAAACTCTTTATTTGCTTTAATCAGATTATAATACACCGTACCGACGTTTTGTTGTCATGTGCTCGTTTTTTGTTTTCTGCAAAATGTTTTTGTGGAGAATTATATAATATTTTTTCAGTGTGTCATGAATAGTTTTCCAGAACTTTTTGGATTTTCACCACAAAGCCCGTAGTTTCGGATTTGTAAAAATAAATTTTTCGGCAAAATAAAATATATAATAAATAACCCTCTACATATCATAAATACCAGCTAATTAGAATCTAGCCTTGAAATTCTTTCTGGCAAATAAGACATTATATTATTGCTAGAAAGAAAGCAAAAGATGAAAAATAGCATAGAATTCAGTAATAACAGCGTTTGCAAAACATATAAATGAACCAGCGACATGATTGACTAACCATGATATTTTGCTGATAACACTATTGTGTTATCAGTAAAATATCACAGTTAGTATTATGTCGTTTGTTCGTTATTATTTTTCGAGATTTCCATCCTATTATTCTTTGCATTTTTATTTAGGTAAACCTCTGAATTATACTGTAATTTATACGAGTGCGGCAAATTGCAGTGATTTCTGTTCGATTTATTTTTTTAGAGTTGAAGTAGTCTTCAAGCAAGTGAAGAGAAATTATAAACGAAACTAAACAGTTCTGCAATAAAATTCTGTAAGCTAAATTTTGTTTATAAGATATCAAAGTGATTTCACTTCACTGTGCTCAATTATTTGTCAAAATTTGTTGCAAAAAATAATCCCGGAGGTCAATGTCATCACAAAAAGATTTACTTTTGGATTGCTTTAAGAAACGTTTAAAATCTCGTAAATTATGAAGCACTTACTCTAAGTTATTACTTTCACTTTTCCTCCAAAAAATTTTACTCGAAAGTAGTTTTCCTTTTCTATCTTATAGTAATTACAGCCTTCTTTGAAATATGCACATGTAATCTGTCGCATTTTATGAACGCCCATCTATATATTAATTATGGCATTCTCAAAAATTAGAGATTCTTAGTTCAGTCGCTCTGTGTATCTTTATAATACATTACTGTTATCATAAAATTAATATAATGGTCAGTGAAGTATTTGACTTTATTAGCAAAGCAATAAAAATTAAGCACATCAAAAAATTTCTAAAAAAATCTCAAAGTGAATTTTAAAACTTTTTGTAAGAAATAAAAATTTTGTTAATCCCAAACATTTTTTTATTGCTTATCCTTGAAGGGTTGGTTAATTGAAGTATTTGGTAAGTTTAGCTTAAATTTACATGCTGTAATGAAAATCATAAAGTCTTTTTGAAAACTATGGAATGCCTTTTGAAACTATAAAATAATCTTGACTTTTGAGAAGGATTCAGTGATTCTAAATATTAATTTGGTCGTTGTTAGACTTTGAGGCATAAGAAAAATAAAAACACTCAGAAAACTATATTTACAAATGAAAACTGAAGAAGAAACATACACACAGTTTCGTTATCATTATGGTTTTTGCTTCATATTTATTCGCATTGCTTTTTTAAAATATCATTGAAATGGTATATAAAAAGTGGCATCATCATACATTTATATATTCCATACACACATTGACAGACTGCAAAGGAACAAAAATGTAAACAAACAAAAATGCTTTGTGATGAATGCCACTTCACTAATTTTCTTTCGTATTTTTATTTAAAATTAAGCTTTCACGTGTTTTTTCTCTAGAATTAACATTTTTATTTTACGTGATAGTCACTCTGCTCTTGAGCTGTAAGAGTTTTTTGCACGTTGTGGGTATCAAATTCTTACTATTCTATTCTGCTGCATTTTTTTTATTTGTTATTTCATGTTCATTTTTATTGAGTCATAGTTAATGATAAGCTTCATTAAAATAATCATCTTTTGATCAAATTGCCGTTGTAGAATTACATTAAATAATAATGTTCGCATTGCAAATGATTTCTACATATTACAGATTTTGCTTTGCATTCTATTAAAAGATTGTTGGCAGCGAATCATCGCAGGATATCATCGAAACAAAGATAAAGCTTTAGTTTTCAGGAAAAAATATTCGCTGTGAAGATCAATAGTAGCGATGATTGCTAAGCTTTTGCTTTACTTGAAAGTTCAAAAGCCAAAATGAACTTAATCATAAAGCTTTCAAACACTGTCCTCTCGTCTGTAACTTATTATATGCCCTGGTTATTTCTGACTTTAAAATCAGCCATGGCAGCTACTGATCGAGAGGTAAAGGGGAACTGGAGGGAATTTTATGAGATTTCTTCAAATGAGGAAGAGTCACCTTTGCGTTTTCAAGTGAGAATTGCTTATATCAATTTTAACTTTAGAGTGCAATTATACATTTTTGTAATTGCTTAATCAGTAATTTTAACTAGTAATTTTTGTCGCTTGACTAAATTAGGCACATAAATAGGTAAAAAGTTTGCATATAAATTGTTTTTAGTTTTCCAAATTTATTTTGATTAATTATGTATTTTTGGAGGTAATCTCGTTTGATTGGGATGAGGTACAAACGCCATACACTATTGCAATTTGGCTACTACTAGCTGGCATAGCGAAAATGGGTTGGATAACTGATATTTTCAAAAATTTAAAGTTTAAGAATTTTTCATTCCTTCCAATTTGCTTAAATTCAACTGAGAACTCGTCTCATCGTTTCAGTATTTCACATATCGAAATGGGTCGCAGATACTTTTCCGGATTCTTCGTTGCTCATTGTTGTGGGCCTTTTGTTGGGTTTGCTTTTGAAGATGTCAAATGTCAGTGATGCTATATTCAATCTTGAATCACATGTTTTCTTTTTCTATTTACTGCCACCAATTATTTTTGATGCCGGTTAGTGTATTATTCCTCAAATTTATAAAATTCACTTTTTTATCACTTTACTCAATTTTTGTTGCAAAATACGCGTAACATATAATTTTCAAATTATTGCAGGCGATACCCTTTCATTAATAAAAATTAAAGTAAACTTCAAATCATAATCCGTTAAAAAAATAATAATCGATGAGTATGTCATTGGTGCTTAAGAAATATTTATTTGGTAAGTTAGGTGCTACTGTGCTGACACATTAATTACGACTAATAATAATCAGTAAATATTCCTTATTTGACACCAAGTAAATCTCTAATGGTTGATTCAATGAAAACTTGTTAATCTTTACTTCAGCTCTTTAACTGATGCAAAATTCAATCTGTCCTGAAAAAAATTATTCCATATCTTAACAAAACTTTTCGTGCCGCATTCCATGCCCTAAAATGCTGTTATCATTTGGATGTTGTTTTACTCTTGTTTATTTATTAAATTTTAGGTTACTTTATGCCAAATCGAGCTTTGTTTGAAAATTTTGGTTCCATCTTAGTTTTTGCTGTCATTGGAACTATATGGAACTGCTTGGCCATCGGTAAGTTTCATTTCAACAAAATTGTTCTAATTTTTGTGCCATCAAACCATATCAAATTTCTTTGCCACAAATGATCATAGCTAAAGTAATAAAGTTAGCCCAAAACAAGTTTCATACTCGAAATATTGTCGTGATACAGAAACAAATAGCAGGCACAATGGAAAATTGATAAAGTTTATATGTTTTTAAACCTGGAAACTTTTTTAAAATTTTAGAAACTGTAAATATTTAAAAAATCATTACTTAACGCTTTCAGTCCATATTAGTTGTGCTCATTTCATTCTCCTGCAAATTTAGGTTCATCGCTTTATGGTTTTGGCTTACTGGATGCGTTCTCAATCAAATTTTCAATTTTCGAAATTTTTCTTTTTTCTGCATTGATTAGTGCAGTCGATCCTGTGGCGGTTATTGCAGTTTTTGAAGAGATTCACGTCAATGAAATGCTTTTTATTACTGTTTTTGGTGAAGCGTTGTTCAATGATGGTATTACTGTGGTAAGTTAAGTTTTCCGTCTATATATTTGCCTGCTCAGTCATATCGTTAAAACTTTTCTTATCCATTCCCTTGATCACTCGGATTTTTTCTGAAACCTTACTTTCTTGAAGTCTGAACCTAGGCACAAAATGTGAAAAGTATCAATTTGATAAGTTGTGCATGAAATTAACTGACTGTGAATATCAGCTGCATTACTATTTAATGCTTTTTACGAGTTTTTCTAAACTTAACTTATTGCTAAAATAATTTGAGTGAAATGTAGTAAAACATGAATTCAATAGTCCATTTTACTAATCTAACAAAGCTTCAATAAAATTTTGTTTTCATGTTGATCTCTGTTTGCTTTTTTGATTTTCATCTGATTTCTGCAAATCAAAGTTTTTCTTTACTTTTTAAATAATAAGAGTGGAGGTTTTAAAAAGGAACTTTACCTTAAAGTTGTTCTCAAGTTTTAGAATTTGATATTTTCTATCCACATTATTATTACAGAAGTGCTGAAAATGTTGAACGACAATCACTTAATTTTTGTTAGCAATGTATCATCTAGATTAAATAATTAGTGTTTCAGGTTTTGTACCGAATGTTTCGGAAATTCGTAATGATTGGAGCAGATAAATTGATTATGATTGATTACGTCGCTGGTTGCGTAAGCTTTTTTGTGATCGGTCTGGGAGGCACGGCAATTGGTCTTTTTTATGCTTTTGTTGTTAGTTTCATCACTAAGTAAGTTTTGAAATTATTTAAAAAATTTTGAAATATATGCAAATGGGGTCTGCTGCGTAAAATTAATCCATCTTTATTTCTAGTATCATTACTGAAATGTAATTCCTTAGTTTTTAATTTTTAGAATTTTTAACTAAATTAAGTAAATTTTACGCTTTCCTCAGTTGGATTTGAAAAACTAAGGTATTGAATATTTAAGTATTCAATTTGAAATAGATCAGTTTTTCAGATATACAGATAAAGTTAAAATACTCAATCCAATTTTCATATTTTTAATTCCCTATCTGGCATATTTAACTGGCGAAATGTTCGGTCTTTCATCGATTTTAGCGTAGGTTTATTTCAGTTACTGACTAAACGATTTTATGAATTCTTGGATAATATAAAGAATTATTGAAAAATCGCATGATATGAAACATCATATGTTAAAATCAAATAAAAATATAATAACTATGATACCGATGTAATAATAAAATTGTCAATCTGTGAAACAAAAGGTAACAACATTAAATTTTGCATGCAACTTTTTAGAATGAATTTTATAAAATTTAGAATTGTTGCTTGTGGTATGGCCATGAAGCAGTATGTCAAAGGTAATATCACTACCACAGCTGCAACATCCGTCAAATATTTCACAAAAATGCTAGCACAAATCTGCGAAACGGTGATATTCATGTTTCTTGGCTTATCCACCATTTCTAGCAAGCATCACTGGGATTTACCGTTCATCGCACTAACTATTGTTTTCTGCTTGGTTTATCGTACTATTGGTACAATTTTTCAATCACTTATTATTTGCTTTTTCATTCCATCATTGAATTATTGCACTATATAGTGCCAAAAGTTTTTTAAGTTCACGAAAAATTTTTTAGTTTACTTGCATTTTTGCTATTTATTTTTCTCTTTTTTTTTGCGACTTTATATTTAAGTTTTCCTTTGATTTATTATTATTCTAATTTTTTATTCGGTTTATTGGAAACAAAAAACATAAAATGCATTATAATATAAATTCATAATAAATATATTGGTGAACGAATATGGAAATTGCCATTATGACAGAAAGTACCAATAATATTTGCATGAGCATGAAATATGTCTGCAGGTGTGATAGCACAGTGTGCCATTTTGAATCGTTTTCGGAAACAAAGGTTCAGTCGAGTTGATCAATTTGTTTTGTGTTACGGCGGACTTCGAGGAGCAATTGCTTTTGGTTTGGTTGTTTCTATGCCCAATAATATTCATGCTAAAAGTATGTTTACCACAGCCTGTATTGCGGTTATTTACTTCACTGTTTTTCTACAGGTTAGCTGACAGCTTTGATTTTAAGACAAAAAATAAAGTATACTGCAAGTTCTACTTGCGTGTTAATATAAGAAGGGCATTATATTTTTATTCGAAAAATTTGGTCTAAATCAGTTTTATCTTAAAAATCTAAAATGATTAACATTACACAGAAGAATCGCAGTTTGTTAGAAGCACTAGGTAATTATGATGCTTTTTATTGTTCAAATATGATGCTTTTTTAAATTATTTAGGTACCACTGTTGTAATTTTGGACTAAAAAAATAAATTTGATGACAAGAACAAAAAGGCAGTGAAATAAATTTGTTGCTGATAAGAATGTTTTATTTTACAAAGGCTAGCTGAAAAAATTATTTCTAGGGCATAACCATTCGACCTTTGACATCATATTTGAATATCGAGCGGAGAGCCAAAGAGGGTCCCACTATGATACAAAGTGTTTATATGAAGGTGATTTCACTGCATTCACGATTTTTGTTAAAGCAGTTCGTCAGTTCTCAATGAGATTCTGTCATAAATACTTAATTACAATATCAGTCTTTATAAGATGCGATCTAAATATTAAACAAATTGAGCAAATCATAGAAATTCCTTATGAAATTTTTTTTAAGTTACCAAACCAATCAGCAAAGCAAAATCAACAGCTCAATTTTTCACGCGCTCATATTATATCTATAGAATTAGAATGTATTCATTTAATTCAATTCCAAGATTATATGGAACTTTTTTTTTAATTATAATTAACAAATATAAATGAGTGATATTTTTGCAAAAATAAATTGCATGGAATGAATATTAAACAATGCTTAGTTTTAGTATTTTGATTATACAATGGCTGGCGTGGAAGATATTGCTGGGCAAAAAGGTCACAATGCTATACGTGAAGCGTTAGTTTCATTACATATATAATAAATTAATGAACGATAATTTATAAAGTAACTAAGCATGTCGCAGTTTGCATTTAGTCAGTGCTGGCTAAAACGCAGTTAAATATTATGTACTTACTGAAAGATTTGTTTAATCATTTAGAATAGTTATTTCTAGTTGTTCCATATCATCAAATTTCCGGTATTTATTTTTATAGAAACTACTTAAGCATTAATTTTTTGAATGACTGTGTGGTTCAGTCTATTTAAAATAAAAGCAAAGCTCACTTTAATTTAGAATTTCAGCTTTGAGCGTTTGAATGCCGCTGTTCTTCGGCCACTGCTGATGCGTAATCAGAAACCACATCGATTTGACGCATCAAAAATTGTCAGAGCTTACACAAAGATAACTTTAAAAGAAGCTTTGGAAATGGCCAGTGGTATTAAGCCTAATATTCGCATACCTCGTCGATCGTAAGTTTTACTTTGGTTTATTTATGCTTTCAAAAAGGTTTTTTTTGCATCACTACGTTATTATTTTCCAATGTGTTATTTATTACTCTCCCGCCTTTCATTTTCAATCGAGAAGAAATTTTTGAATACAGAGATTTGACAAGATGAAAAAATGGTACACATCATTTGTAGGATAAGTATGAATGAAAGAGTTCCTTCCGTCGCATTTAATAATTTGGCATATTTGTCAGATGAAAGGTCAAGTTCAACAGTCAGTGCTAGTGCCTCTGGAAACTTAAAAACCGAAATTGCAAAAGTAAGTTTTGCTTGCAACGTAATGCTAATCACAATACTACTACTGATCAGATATCGCTAATTTTTACTACTCCCTTGTCTTGATGATAAAAAACTCGCAAGTCAATCAATCATTTATTAGCACAGTACTGATATGTAGTCTATTTAGTAATTGAATTGCCATTTTCATAAAATACCTCTACAGTACAAAGCGTCGAATGAGAACACAGAAGCACTTTATCGTATGTTCAGTGAATTGTTGGATCGCAAACTTCGAGAGATGAGAAGAGAGAAAACTGAAGATAATGGCGATGACATCAAGGAAGATTATATGGAAGAATTCATCAGACCTAATGAGATCAGCGTTTCCAACATTGATATTGGCAGCGTATGTTGCTACATAACTTTAATATAAGTTATTGACTTTGCTAAAATAAGCGCCAAATTTGCCAATAACTGCTCAGAAATTTTCTCACAATAGCCGGCCGGTTTTATGGTATAATTAAGCGATAAATTACAAATTTCAGCCCGAGAGGTTTGAGTCTCGTTCTCTAGCAAATGTTTACAATGACAGTATGAAACAACGAAGAAGAGTAGCAAGAAGCCAAAGTATGGGACATTACATATAAAAATGAGTGTTGTTTCTGAGGAATGTGTTATTCCTCACTTCCTTGTATCGGCCAATCCATTGTTCATGAGCTTATTACCTGTTACTTTTCACCAACACATTATCTTATTTGTTATTACTTTCGAACTATACTTCGTATGATATCGACAGATGCGCAAGTCGCTAGCTGAAAGATCAGATACACAATGTTTTTTCCTGGCACTGGTTACTGAGAAAAAAGTGTCATTCTTAGGTTCTTGGAAAAGGCTGAAAACTGTAAATTTATAGCAAACTTTCTGACATCGATCTTCTTGATTCTCTCATTGATCAGATTATGTTTAATGTTTTGTATGTACTGTTAAAGACTAATTTACTCGTGATACTGATTGCTTTGTAGATATAACTTTCATTTAGCAATCATGCAGGGATAAGAATTTATTCTTTTCAGTACTCATTTGCACCGTAATTACAATAAACTGGCCTACAGTATTTGACATAACAAAAATAATTAACGAATTTGAACGAGTAACAAAACTTTTGTGCTTCCAATTTTTTATGGTGCAGTGAATTCTATTTCCCTTGCTACCAAAAATTGTCCATAATTGAAAATTCATAGTATGAATCTTTTATGACGTCATATAAGGATAGAAAATTATTTCATTTGAAAAAAATTAAATGTTAGCATTAGGGCATGTCATATATTTTTCGAAAAAAATACACCAAATGGCTTCTTATTTCGAATTGTTTTTATAAGTATATATAACTTATAATCAATTCGAACTAACATATTCGTTGAAAGCCTGAAAAATAAAATATACTATAGAATTTCTATATATAAATCAAATCATTACTACACGGAGGTCATTCTTCTTTTCTACATTATTCATTCTAGCGCTGTATCGAATTCTGGCATTGTTGTTGAACTCGACTTGCGCACAGTTCTGCTGTGTTGATCTCTGCTGTTTCGTCCTCGTTGAATCCATGGTACTGATCGAATGAGGTGCGAGCGTTTTCTTGAGTAATTGGATATTTGGATACATCCCTCAACATGGTTAGATACACTGATTTCCTTCGCGTAACGTTTGTGAAATTTCGTCACTATCCCATTCCAAGCCATCACAAATATGTTGCGATGGCTTGGGATAAGATAGTGACGAATAAATTATATATATATATATATAATTTGGAGGTTAGTTTTCGTCCTTGCTTAATTGATTCTGGAGCTGGATCGTATTCTCAGATTTGTGCTCATATGTATACTTGGCTCTGCCGCGTTGCCAAGTGGTTGAGTCAATTGCATTACAAAGCAGAAAAGCAGGAAATGGAGGAAAAATAGAAAAAAGCCGAGACTGGAATCATACTGGAAAACAGGTGAGGTTGTTGAAGAAAGCTCCGTGAAGGTCATGGCTGTACTTGTCCCGTGCTCAGCAAATCTGAGTGCCAAAATGCGACCCAGCGCCAGAATCAATAAAGCAGAAACGAAAACTAACTTCCACATTTCTTTCTTTCTGCTATATACAGATATCAAAACAAAGAACATCCAACGAAAGACTTTATTTTAAAGCCTTATTTTCCATTCTTGCATTTTGTTACTTGTTAATCTCTCAACACAAAATGGGCTCACACATCTGTGATGGACACAGAGCCCTATTTACAGCTATGTAAATTAGTGAGTAATCTTGAATGTTATAGAAAGTTTGTATTCTCATTAAACTGACTATTTTTAAAACATTAAAATATATGCATAATTGCACCGAAATGAGTTCGGTACGTAAGTACCGAGATTATGAATTAAATTAATAAAGTTACTGCGGAATCCATTTAATAAGGGGTTCGAAATCATGATTAATATTGAGTCCTGGAAGCGAGCCTTCGTCTTCACAGTGTCTCAAGTACTCCAAAAACTTTTCTCTCTGAAACTTATATTATTTATCCTCGAGTAATTTAATCCTTTTTTCTTCATGTTAAACTTAATCATCTTTGCTGCACCAAAATGAAAAAATAAAGACATAAAAGAACAAAAATAACCTGTATATCAATAATAGTTTCGCAGAAAAGTTTGTATGTAATATCTTCTTTATTTATTTTCTCATTAATTTCCTGCAGGCCTTTCTTCAAAGAGGACAAATCCTAAAGAAGAAAAAAATTTACTCATAACTAAAATAATTGAGTGCATTTGACCTTACAAACAATTCCATCTTTTCTACTTACCAGTGTAGAATCAGTATCAACACACATATCTTCACTATCAACAGTAACGGCAGCAGCTGAAGTAGAAGTAGCAGCATTAGCAGCAGTAGCAGCAGGAGCAACAGGATTAGGTGTCGTAATCAACACGGTTTGAGCTGCTGCAGGATAGTACTTCAATTCGTTTGTAGGAACTGGTTTGCTCTCGAGCATGTAATACATGTTCATGAAATCGCAAGTCATCGGCAATAAGTAACGAGACGCATAATTTTTAAAGTATTTACTGGCGTAGACATATTTGAAAGCATCCATGCAAAGTGATATGAAATCAGATGTGAACTGCAGTGGAGGTCCGTTTGATGACGAGTTTGGTTCGAATACCGGTATATATGGTGGGGGGTTTGGCAATTCATAAGTCGCAATAGATTCTTGACATGTAAAAGTGGTAGATTTGACAAAAGACCTCGGCTTATATCGGACTCTCTTCACTGGACCAATAAAATTGTATTTACTTAGTCGCTGTAAGCGTTTTGTTTTCGTAGTCTTATGAATATGGTTCAAACTGTTCTTAATTGACTTCATGTTCTGAAATGATCTTTACCATCATTTAGATTACACAAATACATAGACACATGCACCGAATACAAAATGCTATATATAATACAAACACATATATAATACACACGCACTTAAGTTATTGTTCTAAAAAGTAACAGATACAAGGAAAAGTCACAGTCAAACGATTAAAATTTCATTGCCAGTTACATTCTACTATATTAAAAATGAGATAGTCGATGCAAACGAGCGATACGTTTTAGATAATTTCTAAGATGAGCAAAATGAGAGAAAAGCTACCCATACTGAAGTAGTTGTAGAGGAAATTGTGCGAAAAGCAGAAGTTGTGGTCACAGTTGTCGTAAGTGTCGAAACTTGAGAGTAAGTGAAATTCATTTTCGGTATATTACACAAATTGCAGTTAGTGAGCTACCTAGTAATCGAGATGGATTGTCAAGAAACTAAACTTGACCTATGTCATTGTCATTCGTCAATTTTTTCTGAATTCTCTGCCCAACTCATCATGTAACAATAAGGAAAACATGGAGAAGAAAGAGAAGAAAAATGGTCAGCAATCGTTCGTTAGATAAAAAACGACGGCACACAGGGCAGAGGTCATATGGCTTTAGTATGAAAGTTAAAGCTCAGATGTAGAGAACTAGCCAAACATCCTTTATCATCACTTATTGACTCGCGCATTTCTTGCATATCTTAACATAAAAGTTCAAAATACGTGCTCAACGTACAATCGCTATTATATTAATATAATTATAATTATTATCTATCTATTATTATTAATGCTTCTACAACTGCATAATGTTCTTGTAGATACCGCGCCCATATGAACCAGGCGGGCAGCGATAATAAAGCAGGAGATAGCTCACAACACATGTATTGTGCCCTACTTTCGGACTACCCAACAGTTATTGTACCCTACCTTCAGACAACCTCGTAGAAAATCAAACCATCGAAAACGTATTAGCAGCTCAGAAAGCACTCCTGTATAGCGAAATAGGAAAAGAAAACTCGTCATGTGAAGCCATACAAGATGCACAAAAATGAGATACCCTCAATGTCAAATTCATCAATGTGGCTACAATTTGGAAATATTACCCCACAGGATGAAGCGCGATACTGGAACTATCAAGACAGAAATAAGTTTGGAGCTTAGGAAGGTATGTGCCAATATTGTGGGGAATGTGTAAGACTGAACCATATAGCAACGCAATGCGAAAAAATGTTATATCACCATTATACTAGAAGACACAATGAGGTCCTGCGATCCATCCATTTAGGATTCTGCAAGAAGTATGGTCTGAAAGCATTTCCATGTATGCGAAGCCGCCATTCTGTTCAGGTTATCATCGCAAATGAGAACGTGGAGATCAGAC